GGAAGCATGTAGCGAGGCTCCAAATGCTCCAACAGACCGCCGACAGGTCTCGCAGACAACAGCCGCTCTATCACGTGACACATACTGCTCCGATGCGCCGAGCTGGGTTACGCCAAGTAGCGCGTTTTGTGAGGTGATTGTGTGATACTTCGGCTCAAATTACATTTTTTTATTTCTCTCCGATATCCGATCCAGTAATTTAAGTCAGTATCGGACCGGTCCATCTCTACTAAAGACACAATTTTATCCCACCCCCCCATTGTTTTTGATGTGTAACACTAGTTTATCCTTTGAGTTAAGTGCTTTGTTTAATCCTTGAATGGTCTGGACTGAAAAAAGGTGAAAAAGCAGCCAAAGTCCAAAGAAAGACTTCAAAAGATCTTAAGAAACTCTGACTCCTTGGAAGCAAAATGTAAAGAAATGAATCCTGGCTCAAGACGTTTGCACAGTATTGTATGTATTTCGTATGGATAACATCCCTTAGGCTTGATAAGTTGGTAAGTTCACTTTAACTGAGATACATAAATGTTAAAGTAGATTTCAAACCTTTGTTATTGTGGCCACATGATGTGAACCAACATCACATGAACTGGACTTGGATCACACGCAAGTAAGAGGTCTACCAACGTCATGCTCAACTTCCCTAAATCAATAAGGCTCAAATGCTTCTCTTTTTTTCCCTTCGCTCCCCTGATACAGAGTATTTACACACAAACAACAATGGAAAAGATGGGCTACTATAGTCCACACTTTTTAATGACTCGCTGTTCCTTAACATCTGATTCAAACTTAATGACACTGCTTGAAAACTGCTTCAAATGCATAAATTCATAACGAGGATAAAAATAAGATGATTATCTTACCCTGAATGACGTTTAAGGTAACTGCTGATGCAGCCGCTGTGCACCAGCATTTCAAAACTTTCTGACCCCGATGTGCAGGAAGTAGAAAATACAGTATATGGCCATTCAGCTTTAGTTTTATTTCAGGTCACACACAATCATAAAATGTTTCAAAGTTCAACTAGACATTCCACTGGAGGGAGGCTGCCTTGATAAAGAGAAGTATTTGTCAAAGCTTAGTCATGAAGAACACCAAAGCAGTCTTGACTGCTACAGTCTCATAATGCAAAGTCTAAAGGTCAAGACCTATTTTATACTAACTAAAAGTATTTATGTGAAAAACTTAGAGCCACCCCTGCCTTAACCAGAAATTCTCCACGTCCACTCATATCCACAAGGACTGATGATAGTTACTGGTAACATCTGTGACACAAGCAGTGAGCAATCATAGACAAGACATGATGACTTAAGGATGTCAGCGGCAACACAACAGTGCTTTTTGTTGGTTTAAGCACCAGTGGTTCTGTAGGTGGTGTATGTGCCAAGACAGCAATTCATCTGGAACTGAAAAGGGCGGCATACACCTACAAGTGTTTTTCTCCATCCTTACATGTTGAAGAAGAAGAGGAAGGATGTCAAAGAGTCATAAACAATATAAAATGTGGCCAAAATTAAGCCAATATGGGAGGCCTTAAAAATGCATTCTATCTGAAGGCCACCAGATGGCGATAGCTGTGGTTGAACAAAAGACTTCCAGTCCCGTAAAAGACTACACGAAAACGGCTTTCTGTCTCAACCTCTGTAAACACTTTGCTGATGAGTTTATGGGGTCAGTTACACATTTAAGGTAAAATAAAGTCTTGGTCACATCGTATTTCAAAGATGGAGGCCTGTCCATGACACAAAACTGCACACTCACTAGCTAATGACTTGTGACTGACAAGTTGTTAGCCACACAATTTCACAGTCAGACCAGCCCTTCCTCATCATCTGGGGTTTTTTGGGGTTTTTTTTGTCTTTTTGCAACCAAGGTGACAATGGCAGAAACACTCATCTTGAATCTTTAAAACAAACACTGAGGTTATGTTGTAGTAGCTGCGATGATCGACTTGCATAAGGTTGTAATAAACTTGAGTGACATGACAGCTGGAACAGGGTTTTATTGAACAAAAAAGAAAATGATTAGTCATTGTTTATCAACTTTCCCTGCAGTGTACTAACTAGTTAACAACTTACAATTAAACCACCGCTTGACTCTTCCTCATCAGCAGCTCAGCTATGATGCACACTCGTGCCTCTACCTACTGCTTTTTCTGCAAAAAGCATCAATGCATATCAGAAAAACATATATCCTATATCTTTAACTGTGACAGGCAAATATTATTAAATCAATACATGAATCAGGCTGTAGAAACAAAAGAATACTTTCAGTCTGCAACCACCAGCATTTTGTCTGTAAAAGAAAATAATATATGAATGTGATTTTCCTTTGCATAATCCAAAGCTTTTCTAACAGTGCAGACGTGAACTAATAAGACACCCGGAGGAGCGTATGCTTATTTTCTAATACCGATTCATCTGTTTTTTTAATCACATATTTCCTGCCCCAATGTGGCACACTCATATTGACTCCTCTCTAGATCAAATTTAAATAATCATCCAACACTGAAGCTATAGCACCGGTAAATGTTCACATCTGGGAAGCTGAATCGAGCAGAATCTGGTACATTTTGCTTGAAAATGACCCAAAATGCTAAAAACTGAAGTCGTTACAGATGCTCTTCTCTTTATCTGAAAACCGCAATTGTATTCTTACTCTTGGAAGGCTGAAAGATGTGTCTGAAAATAGTTACACGTTAACTTTCTGTTAAGATGGTGAAATTATTATCTAAACCCAGTGAATAAAGATAAGCAAGAGTGTACGTTCTCAAACAGACAAAGGCTTTTCTATTCAACCATGATTTAATCTGTTGATGTGATATGCATATATGTGGCTTATTCGAGATCGGTGATCTACTAGTTATTCTGGGCACAGAAGTGACAGATTATTAGAGTTGTGTAGTTATAATTCCAAAGTCTAACACAGTCCACAGATCTAATTCAAAGTTCACAGGTAAGATCACAACATAAATCATCAATCACTGCAGTATTTGGGGGTCATGTGTCCCGTTCAATCTGACACACTGCTAGAGCACACACAGTGCACACACCAAATACTACGCCCTTTCCCCTAAACCGGTTGGTTTGTCATGACTTAGCAGCACTTGAGCTTTTCTGCACTACATCTCACTTCAGCCAAGCGAGGCTCCTTACGCTGTGGTTCGACAGAAAACAACAATGTATTTCAAATGCAAGACGGAGGACCAAGCTAATTGACACTGCAAATATAATCAGCTACCTTAGAAATGCCAGCAACGCATATAGTTAATGTATCTAGTTGTCGTGCTGTTGAACTTCACTATGAGGTCATCGAGAATCTGCCTACCTTGTGTGAGTCTCAACAGTTGTTGCGAGGTGGTGTTTTCCTTGGGCAGCTACCTGCTAGCTGGTTGCTAGCAAGTTAGCGCTGGTATGCTGCTAGCGACTAGCTGCTGATGAATTCCACAATGTCAGAGCAGTTAGCGGTTTCAAGATAGGAGGCGACCAAAAGACAACCCGCAAGACAGACCACAGTGAGTCAGGGACGCTAAGAAATTAACCACTCCTTCACTGAGGCTGCTGTGCATCCTGTTAGCAACAGATAAACATCCCATTTGATGGTTTCTCAAACACTCTTCGCTTTCCCGCAGCCATCTTACTTTAACTCCGCCCACACGTCTTCTCTGACTCACA